GTTTATTTCAAGTATTAATTGTGTCTATCATGGGTGTTTGTGCGAATGCAGCGTTTTCTAGTGGTATCGGTGATTCGTTTGTTGTCGGTTCTGTTGGCTCTTCCACTGCTAGTGGAGTTTTGAATCCATTGTCTGGTACGCGTGGTTTATCTGATTGGATGTACGACTGTGGGGCAACTCATCATATGAAAGGGTTCCTGGAGTTTATTTCTGATGTTCGGGATATTCCCGCCCGTCCTGTTCAATTGCCTAATGGTTCATTGACTATGGCTACCAAGGCTGGGACTGTATATTTGGGATCTCATATAACTCTTTATGATGTTTTATATGTTCACAGCCTTCGGTGCAGCTTGATTTCATTATATCAATTGTTGGATCGTTCCGACTGCACCGCTCAGTTTACTAGCAAATTCTGTGTTATTCGAGACCACACTTCCCAGAAGGTGATTGGCGCGGGTGAGCAGTTGAGTGGTCTCTACTTCTTTCGAGAGTCGGTTTCTACGGCAGTTTCTTGTGTTCGAAAGGTTTCCCCCGAGGTGTGGCATCAACGTTTAGGACATCCGTCTGCTCAAGTATTATCCCAGGTTCCCGTTATTGATTTGAGTTCTCATAATTTCCATAAATCATGTGATGCTTGTTTTCGTGCTAAACAACATCGTCGTAGTTTTCTTCTCAGCCAGACTGTTAGTCATGAGATTTTTCATCTGATTCATTGTGATTTGTGGGGTCCATATCGTGTTCCGTCCTTCTGTGGTGCACGGTATTTTGTGACTATTGTAGATGATTGTTCTCGTGGGACATGGATTTATTTATTGAATGATAAGACGGAGGTTGCTTCCACATTGCTGAATTTTTTGTCTATGATTAAGCGACAATTTGATAAATCGGTACGTGTTATTCGTACTGATAATGGCAGCGAGTTCATGTGTTTGGCCTCTTATTTTCGTCGTCAAGGGATTCTGCATGAGACTTTTTGCGTAGGCACCCCTCAGCAGAATGGGCGTGTGGAACGCAAACATCAACATATTCTCAATGTAGCTCGTGCTTTGCGTTTCCAGGCTCACCTGCCTCTTCCGTTTTGGGGTCATTGTGTTTTGACTGCGGTCTATCTGATAAATCGGACTCCTTCATCGGTTTTACATGGTAAAACACCATATGAGATTCTTTATGGTTCGGCTCCTTACTTGTCTCATTTGCGAGTTTTTGGTTGCCTTTGTTATGCTCATAACCAAGATCGTCATGGTGATAAATTTGCTGCTCGGAGTCGTCGTTGTCTGTTTGTCGGTTACCCGTTTGGCAAAAAGGGGTGGAGTCTGTATGATTTGGATCGTCAGGTTTTCTTTGTCTCTCGTGATGTGGAGTTTCTTGAGACTGAATTCCCATACCAGTCAGACTCGTCTGAGCCAGATTCTTTCCCACCGCCTCTTGTTGTGCCGGTTTTTTCTACGCCAAATGGTGATGAAGATATTCCGATTGTCTCTTTGCCTCATATTTCTCCAGATATTGCGTCTTCTTCTACTTATATAGACACGTCTGACGACAGGGAGGGTTCTGTTACCATTGCCCCTCCCACTCTTCCAGTGGAGCCCTTGGGTCGTGGTCATCTGACTAAGGTTCCTTCTACTCGGCTGACGGACTTTGTGGTTGACACTGTCCGGCCCTCGACTATACCACCCATTGCTTCTCCCCAGTCATCTCCATCCTCCGGTACGCCGTATCCCATAGCACATTATGTTACTTGTGATTCATTCTCTCCAGCTCATCGAGCCTTTTTGGCTGTTGTCGCCTCCGCTGTTGAGCCTCGCACTTTTGCTGATGTTGTGACTGATACTCGATGGCGAGCCGCTATGCAGGATGAGATTCGTGCCTTGGAGAATAATGGCACGTGGGATGTAGTTTCTCTTCCATTTGGGAAGCGTGCGATTGGGTGCAAGTGGGTCTTTAAGATCAAGCATAAGTCCGACGGTTCCGTTGAGCGCTACAAAGCGCGTTTGGTGATTTTGGGCAATAATCAGGTGGAAGGTCTTGATTATCATGAGACATTTGCTCCCGTCGCCAAAATGGTTACAGTTCGGTTATTCTTAGCTGTGGCTGCTGCTAAGCATTGGGAAGTTCACCAGATGGATGTTCACAATGCTTTTCTTCATGGTGATTTGGCTGAGGAGGTTTACATGAAGTTTCCCCCTGGTTTTTGCTCTGGTGTTAATGGGAAAGTTTGTCGTCTTCGTCGTTCCCTCTATGGCTTGAAGTAGGCTCCCCGCTGTTGGTTTGCCAAGTTGTCTACGGCTTTGAAGCAGTATGGTTTTTGTCAGTCCTATCATGACTACTCTCTTTTTACACTGCATCGTGGTTCTGTCCATCTGCAGGTTCTGGTCTATGTTGATGATCTGATTGTTTCCGGGAATGACACAACATCTATTGCAGCTTTCAAGAGTTACTTGAGTCGTTGTTTTCACATGAAGGATCTTGGGTTGCTTAAGTATTTTCTGGGTATCGAGGTTGCCCGGAATTCTTCTGGCTTCTTTCTCTGTCAGCGGAAGTATGCTCTTGACATTATAGCTGAGGTCGGCCTACTAGGGAGCAAGCCTGCTGATTTTCCATTAGAGCAGAATCATCAGCTCCCTCTTGCTGAGAATGATCTATTGTCTGATCCCGAGCGATATCGTCGTTTAGTCGGACGTCTTATCTATCTGGCAGTGACTCGACCTGAGTTGTCTTACTCGGTGCATATGCTCTCTCAATTTATGCACCAACCACGTCAGGCTCACTGGGACTCTGCTCTGCGTGTGGTTCGATATTTGAAAGGCTCTCCTGGTCAGGGGATTCATCTTCGTACTGACTGCGATCTTCAACTCTATGCATGGTGTGATTCGGATTGGGCGTCTTGCCCTCTCACTCGGCGTTCTCTTTCTGGTTGGTTTATTCAGCTGGGTCAGTCTCCTGTTTCTTGGCGAACCAAGAAACAACCTACTGTGGCACGCTCTTCTGCTGAGGCTGAATATCGGGCGATGGCTACTACATTATGTGAGTTGAAGTGGTTACGGGGGCTGTTATCTACTCTTGGTGTCGCTCACACTCAGCCTATGCGGTTACACTGTGACAGTCAATCTGCACTGCATATTGCGGCTAATCCAGTTTTTCACGAGCGCACTAAGCACATTGAGGTGGACTGCCACTTTGTTCGAGATGCTGTTCTTCAGGGTCTCAATTCTACTACTCATGTTCCTTCTGGGGCACAGCTCGCTGACATCTTCACCAAGGCGCTTGGGAAGCGCGAATTTGATTTCTTTCTTGGCAAGTTCGGCATTCGGAATCCACATGCTCCAACTTGAGGGGGGGTGTTATTGTATATATTTGTGTATTTACCGTATTAGCCTTAGGTTATCCATAGCCCTAATTTTGTGTATATATTCTTGGTTTATAGAGAGTTGTATCATCCGATTGAGATGATCTTTCCCAATTATTGTATCCACTCTTTCGTATCAGGTCGGATGTGGCAATGCGGCGGAGAAGACGGATGCTCGCCCGTGTTCAGTACATCGGATCTAGTCCGGCGCGGTGGTTGTCGGTGGTTTTCTGAAAAAAACGACATAAAGTGAGCGAGAGAGAGAAACCAACAGGGTAATAGTGCGAGAGAGGTATGCCGACGGCGGAGACGGAGTCAATTGCGGCGAGGTTATGGCGGTGACGGGTTGATTGACGGCGGTGAGACTATGTGTGTTTGTGTATTTCGGCTCCGTCAAATGTGTTGGTCAGTGAGAGAGAGAAAGAGCTGATGGGGGGTGGGGTTTGGTCTTTGGTGGGTCGTCTGTGTGGGGAGAGAGAGAGATATGGCTGATGGTGGGGTCCACTAGTTAGTGGGTGGGTGTTTAATGACCTATCTATCCCTATTTAGTGGTCAAATTTTAAATTTGACCATGCTAGCTATAATTATTTACGAAATTGCCATTAATGATTGACTATCACATAATAAAATTTGACTTGATCATGACCATTGATGTGTTGGATCTAATGATCCAGATTTATTCTTATTTCTTTCCCTATCTACCATTCTCATTGGATCCTAACTCTATATATATAT